GGGGGGGGGTCGGCCAGGCTGAGACGTGTCTGCAAGAAAGAGTAGAGGGGGTTTTTTAAAGGGATCTGAACGCCCTGAGGCTGGATGCCTCGGCGAATAAATGATTTTGGGACCTGAGTGGCCTGAGCGCTCTCAGCTAGTTTGTCGTAGTACTTGCAGCAGCGGCAGCGGCAGCAGCGGCAGAAGTAGTCGTAGTCGTAGTCGTAGTAGTAGTAGTAGTAGTAGTAGTAGGAGGAGGAGGAGGAGGACTTGTAGTACCAGTAGTAATCGCAGCAAGAAGATCAAGAGTAGGAGGAGGAGCAGGAGAGAAATGTCGATTTTATTTCTATTGAAAGCCACGTATTTGTTCAAAACAAGTTTGAGGAAACTCATTATGATCACCCCTTTAGACACATCACCCGTTGACTTCCCTACATACCGACACACTATATCACCCAACCATAGGTTCGCAAATAGAATCCAAGACCCTACCCGCGCTTAACCCACATCACACCCAATTTCTCTGACGATGCTTTAAGTGGCAGTTTCCTTAAATAGGGGGACCCCAATATAGACCCCAAAATACTATAGTCATTATTATAGGGGACCTTCACCAAGGTACCCTTAATTTTCGGAAACTCCCAAGTGGCATTCGTGGGAGTCCTGGGGGACATGGAGGGTGGTAGTCGCGAAGCCGAAGCATTAAATTCGAAGTCTTAAACTCTTAGCCCTACCTGAACCCCAAAAGTATGTAAAATAGTGGCCTTTAGGGCTACATTTTGGGGTTTTGTGCTATTATTTTACCTACTTTTGGGGTTTAGGTAAGCCCGAATCCTAAGCCATTGATAGAGTCAGTCCAGGAAATTCTCCTGCGCTTCATCGCAGGCATGATGGGGGTGTCCCAAGATTAGGGGTACGATTTAGGGGTCCGTATCATAAGGATTACAGTATTTTGGAGTTCATATTGAGGTCCACTATGTAGGGAAACTACCAGATGGGAATACTGACATCTTAGGATCTCGAGGTTCAAGTGCCCGAAGAACGAGGCTGTGAATCCCAAATACTAAATGAGCCAGAGTCCAAACTCCTTAAAGGGAGTTATGTAGGGTTTAGGATTTAGTTTGGGTCTGAACTCCTTAAAGGGAATTATACAGGGGACCATATAGGGGACGATTATAGGGGTTATTATGAGGTTTACCAGAGTTGAGACTATAACTCCTATATATGATCCCGTACATAACCCTATATTATATAGTTTCCATTTCATTTACCATCTTCTTTTCCATTTGATTCTCCATGCTCCCATATATATATATATATTTTGTAATTCAGCTTTTGAAAGTTGAAGCTTCAGAGGTTGAGTACTTGAGGCTTTATGAATCTTTCCGCCGACTGGCTTATCATACTCTAAACATGGAGCTCTTTGGATTTCCAGGAGTCAATGCACAATGGTGTTTAGGGTTTAGGGTTTGGTTTACGGTTTTAGGTTTTAGGGTTCAGGGTCTAGGGATTACACCTCAAGCCCACCAAAGGCGTTCGTTTACACGGGCAGTAGTCTTGCCAGGGCAGTGCTCGGGGCTCAAGGTTGATCCCAAAGGGTCCAAGTGCCTAATAATCATATGGTTACCCGAAACCCATAATTACTACAATTACTAGAAACCAAATCCTAAGTACCCTAAGCCCCAAGCCCTAAGTACTCAATTGTTGGACCCTAAACCTTAAACTAAAAGCCTAGGTCCCAATTATTAACTGGGTAAATGGACCCTAATCGGCTGTGGGAGAGAGTATGTAAGTACCGCCCCTGCCAGAGAATGCCTTGAGGGACGTTGGCGCTACTAGTAATCAGGGGTTGAAGGTGTTTCGGGTTTAGAGGTTAGGGTTGTGGGGCTTAGGGGTTGAGGCTTTAGGGTTTAATCAGGGGTGGAAATAATGCCCCAGTATCCCCGATCCAATGTATCCTTCAACCCTAGGCCCCAACTCGCACGTATCCTTATCTTTCCCTGCAGATACCACTTAAACCTCACAGGGGAGACCTACCATACCCCAGTGTGGATTACAGCGACAGGAAACTCCACATGTCACATACCACGACTCCAAAATGCATCAGCACGACAGCCTTTCGGCTCAACAGCTTTTTAGTTTTATGCAGTTTTGAGCGGCCTTCCTGAGATGCGGTAGAGGCCATCAGACATGACATTGAATGACACATGTGAGACAACAACATATTCACATGTTGTCCTTGTTGCCAGGCAAGCAACTTTTTCTTGGACTTTCTTGGACGGATGGCTTCGCTGCAGGCCTGTATTTGCCCTTGTGTGCTGGTGTGCTGGCGAATCAGACAATAGACCGGGAGCCCGCTTTTTGGGTAGATTGTGGGACCAACACCTGAGAAAGGGCCGCCCCACCTCAAACAAATGTACTGCAAGTGGTGTGGCAAGGGCGAATCCGACAATAGACCGGGAGCCCGCTTTTTGGGTAGATTATGGGACCAACACCTGAAAAAGGGGGCTCCCGGCCCCCGCCCCACCTCAAACCAATGTACTGCAAGTGGTGTGGCAAGCATATGCTGCAACGCTGCAGCTTGTGCAAGATAGTGTGTATTGGCCAGGAGCCCTATTTTTGGAGAGATTGCGGAACAAACTTCTCAAAAAGTGGGCTCCCGGTGCTGATGGCTAGCACAAAGGGCCCGCTGTACCACTTCCGTCGCAGAGTACAGCAAGTGCGCGAGATGCTGAAGAACTTGCCGAAAGCTCGACGCGGCAGCCATGACAAGCGAGCCGCCCGCCGAGTGCTGCAGAGGTCGTTCGCCATCGCTGTGAAGCCCTTTGTAGAGGCGGCCAAGGCAGGAAGTGACATGGGAAAGGGGGCAAAACAAGTTTGCTTGTGCACGAGTATGGGATTCTTCCAATGCCTTCTTTGGAGGACACACTGGCTGAGTTGCTGCGTGGGGAGGTGGTGCAGGTTCGGCTGACAGAGGAGGCGACGTCGGTGCGCCAAGCGGCGCTTGAAGACGTGCTGGCTAGATTCTTTGTAGGTTCTAGGCGGTGCATGATCCATGCGGGAAGGCTCACACTGTGGCCCCTTGACATGCGCTGCGCCGCAGAAGTGCGGTCTGACGATCCCTTGTTGTCGGGTTGGGATCCGACAGGTCCAGCAACGCCCAAGGCGGCGCGTAAGCTAAGCCGCAGGGTGCGACGTTTGCAGGGCGTAGAGGCGTGAAGCAAAACATGATGCCCGCTGTCGTGC